AAGAAAGTCACTTCATGCGTGATGCATTAGGGGTGCACCGGAACTCGGTTCCGGCCGGTTAGTTCCGGCCGGAACCCCGATTTTTTAGAGTTCCGGTTCCGGCCGGAACTAGTAAAAAAAGCATGGCCGGAACCGGAACTCTGTCGTTTTCAGAGAGATAGAATATCAAACGTTTTTGTGTCTAACAAAAGGTCACAGTAGGAAGAAATGTGGACTACGCAAGGGAAATGTACACTATTAACACTTCATTATGACGTTGAACGCTTGTTAATCTTATTATTCTAACATTTGCAAGCTCTCTCCTTGATGACTTGAAGTGTCTGCCTGTCTTGCAGCGGACAAACTAACATATGACTATATATGGCTAAAAAAATTAGTTCCGGTTCCGGCCGGAAGTTCCGGTCGGAACTTTTTTCCAGTTTCAGTCGGATCCGGTTCCGGCCGGAACTTAAAAAACTGGTTCCGGTGCACCCCTATGATGCATGAAAGCAAACAAAAATGCAGGAATTTCATGGTAATTGCGAGAAACTTGGAAGGTCTGGGGGGGTACGGGTGAGTGAATGTTCGGGTGTTGACGTGTTGTTATGAGATTACGACACCAGATGCCAAGTTCACTAACAGCTGGGGCTACCAATATAAAATGGGGTTCCTTCTCCCTCCCCCCCCCCCCCCCAAAAAAAAAAACAGTCTTGCAGTGGTCTGACAATGACGTCGTGACCTTTAAAATTAGTTTACTCAAACTTTAAAATTGATATAGATTTAAATTACAGTCACATACCAGCTGTTCTCCATATTTAAATTCTTTACCATCAGGGCCATCTACGTAAAATTCAGCTAAAAACCTTTTGGCGTTATCTAGTCAACAGAAAACAAAATTACGAAAATTATGCACGCTGAGAACTCAATGGCTAAATATTTATAATCTGGACTCTACATTGCAAACTAAAACGGTATAAACACTTTCTACAAGTATATATTTTAATAGTAGTTATTTTAACTGTTACTTTGGTTAAAATGAGGTAAAGATTTGCTGAAATACCTTTCTCATCGTTGTAGTCAACAGCAGCCATGTTGTAAACTCAAGATGTTTATAAATTCAATTTTTCGACCACGTGACAAATTTGGCGGGAAATAACACCTGGGAAGTACTTTATGTATGCCTATTATAAGGTCCCAAAAATGGCGAGAAGGAGGGACACTATATGTATATATCTATGTTTCATCAGAAAATTGAAAGTAATAAGAGAATATTGCTTTACATTTCTACAAAAACTCCCAAAACGTCCGGGCATCCTAAAATGTTCGGACTTTCGAAAGTTCAAACGTCTAGGCAAAAACAAAACGGCGACTTATAAATGCTAATTTTTATTACGACTGAACTAGAAGTGCTGTCAGTCGCGGGATCTCCAACTACGCGTTATTAATAATAAATTAATTTTGCCCTGAGTTAATTTCGTTTTGCAGTTAGTTAACTTTATTTTCCCGTGAGTTTATTTTGTTTTGCCGTTGCAGTTAATTTTATTTACTTGTGCATGGGTCACATTATTTTATACCGCCTGGGGACGAGGCAGCTCGACAATTACCCAGACTGCTTCCAAGCTTGGTAGGATTAACCGATCACTTCATTTAGCCAATCAGATTACGAGCTTTTTTGGATCGTGATCTGATTGTTAAAATGAAGGCGGACCAGAAAGTAGACGGGTACCTACAAAATGGCGAAACGGCTGGTATCCTGGCGCGAAATTTTAGAACTTAAAATAGTTTAATTTAGGACATTTAGGTTTCTAATCTTGTTTCTAAATTTGATGTGACTTAAAAAAGTAGTAAGATACATTTTTAGATTTTTATAAGTCAGATAAAAAGCACAAAACACACTGCTAACTTTGTTTAGTCGCAATTCAATGATCGGAAAATTAGAAGATCTGTTTTATATCGAATGGTAAATTAGAAATGAAATTTTTAAAAAGAAAAGTACCTCATCAGTCCATACTTCCCGACTCTGCTAGCCCGTATCGGTCAAGTCCGTCTCGTGCTAGCCGCTAGAACGGTTACGCCGTATGTTAACGTTTAGGCTAGATTTCGATTTTCGGCTAAACTCAACGCTATCGTCAGAGGCGGGTGAATAGGTGGCTTACCAACCGGTATCGAACGAACGACGGGGGAGAGTGCCGGCGGCCCCCAGACCATTATGCCTGGCACCCTTTTCGCAAGATCCTATGATCGGTAACTACCACACACAAGTAATAGTAACAGTTCCGTATATAAGTACGTAACAGTTGCCTGGTGTAGTGCATATGGGACGCTTTAGCACGGTGTTCACCAAACCTTTGAAACAAACGCATGCGCGATAAATTGACACTCGCGTAAACGTAGCGCATGCGTGGGCAACATCCAATCAGGACGCAGGAAAATTTCGGAATGGTCCCGCGAGTTCGAGACATGTGCGAGACGGCTCAAAAATTTCAAAAAATTATGTTTCCAAAACAAATTCAGTGAAAATATATATTATTCACATGTAGATGCTTGTGAATGACTATATGAATCGACTGGAAAAGATGAAGGCGAAGTGAAATCTACACCGTCGATTAACCAAGAGGTCGCGCCGAAGATCTTCGGCGTGAGTTTGGCAAATTACAATACTATCTATAGTTAATATTGGCGTATCTTCGGCGTAGACTTTGCATGGAATGCACCCTGGCGCGCCGCCGTTGGTTTCTACTTTCTAGTACTGACACGAAAGGTACAAAGCTTTTAATATATTTTGTACTGTTTTGTTTCCTTTTTTGACGATAGTTGATGCGAAATATTCTTGTCTAAAGTTTGCTTCAATCGTCAAAAGAGGAAAGTTCTTATTTGGCTTGATTAGTATTTGCATTTATGAACCCTATATTTAATAATTATTATTATATTAATAATGGCGCAATAAGGATAAAAATACTACCGGTTCGATTCAGCGTACGAAATTGTACTTACGGATGCCAAATCTGTTACTAAACACCAGTATTCTAGCGATTTATGGCCTTTGAAAATGAAGCGAAATTGTTTTGTTGACAAATCGCTCGCAGTACGTATTGACTATTATTGACAAATCACTCGCTGTTTGTCCGACCATGGATTGTAAAATAATTGTTATTTTACAATCCATGGTCCGGCCTTGTATTTGTATTGCCTAATGGCGCAATAAGGATGAAAATACCCAGGGATGGATCCAGCATGATCTGGTTGGGGGGGGTGCAAATTTTTTTAGGGACCCCTAGTGATGGGCGATACCGAGTACTCGGTATTCGATACCAGCGATACCACAAACAGCGGTATCGGTATCGATTACTGACGTAGTATCGTTCGATACTTGCACCCTTTTTTAAACGACTTGTTTAATTTCACTTCTTGGTTGAATAAGACTTAATGAACCACTAAAATAACTCCAAATGTGGTGCGCCAAGTCATGTGTAGAAAATATTTATTACGTTTCGGGCTTTTGGTTTACATATAGCATTATTTTGGTTACATATACAGTAATGAAAAATGTTTTTCCGCTGACCGGCAGGTATCGAAAGTACACGGGTAAAAATTGATCATGTTGTTCGGCGTTGTTCAAAACAGGAGTGAACAATGTTGTGCTGCACCCCGTGAACAATATTGTTAACAAGTTGTTCAACCATCAGTACTGTTGCAAGTTGTTAACATGATTGTC